GGCAGCCCCGGGCTGTCGCGCGGGTGTGCGCGGGACTCCGTGATGCCGTGCTCGGCCGCCCTGCCGCGCCTGGGGCCTGTGCTGGGCTCCAGTGTCCCTGTGGAGCGGGATGCGATGCGAGGCGCGGAGCAAAGGTGACTCGAGGCTCTCTGGCAGGAGGTGTGTCCCCACACCGCTGTCCTGGCGAACTGGGAAAACTCCCCTTTGCCTCAGGTCCTTGGTGTTTGCTCCTGATGGTTCCTGCCCTCTGCTCCAGGCCTGTCTCTCTATCCCTGGCTCCGTTTCACTGATCTAATCTGCTCCTCCTTTTCTCTCTGTTGCTGTGGCTCAGACAGCATCATGGACGGGGCTGGAGAGATGTTCTGCTGTTTAGAAAGATTATATGAAATTCTTCAAGCACAAAACATGTGCTGCTGTGATGCTCTCAAAGAAGAGCTGGATCTGTACAAAAGTCTGTATAAGTATTTAGAAAGGGAAAATAGATGTATTTTTCCTTAGTTCATCTGGCCTTTAGATAATTAATAACATTTCCTTTTTCCTTCTGTGCAGGTAGTTTTACTCTAAGCAAGCAATCCCCTCCTGTCCCCTTCTTTGATTCAAGTTTGATATAAATGCTAATGCTCCTCTTCTCTACCTGATGCTGGAGACTGTGGAGCTGGATAGAGCTTTGGGCTTTTTTAGGAAGAAAGGATCATCACAACACTGACTGTAATAAACCTACATGCTAAAAAATCAATCACGTGAGAAATGAAGGTTGGGAAGAAAACTGTGAAACAATAGGTGGTAGGTAGCTTTTGGCACAGCCTTGTGAAAATCTATCATTCTTCCTTTATTCTTTGACATTTTTTTGTGGTTTTGTTTATTTGGTTGGTTTGTTTTGTGGAGTGTTTTGTTTTGATTGGTTCTTTTTCGCACCCAAATTTATAGCGCTGTTCTTCCTCCTGTCACCTCCAAATAGCATTCAAAAGGCTATTCTCTATGAAACAATATTTGTATAGCCTTTTGGCAGCTCTGCCGAGGGCCTTCTTGATGCCCAAACAATGTCAATCTGCATCATTTTGGAAAATGATCATCACTATTTTGCTAGTGGACCTGTTCTAAAAGAAAACCTTTATTCACAAAGTATAAAGGCCTTTTATGATCTTGAGGCTCTTCTTAAGGCAACAAAAGCTGTTTCTAGTGATAGTTGTTGAGTGTATACATACAATCCTCTTCAGCATTTATCTGTTTAAATGCTGTGCCATGTTCACTGGTGATCATAAAATTTATGTTCAGAAGAAAATCTCTTTGATGTACAGTCCAGTATGTGATTTCTCTGGGAATTCAACCAAGTGCTGGATCTCTGCCCACACATGGAGCTGTGGGCATGGGCACAGACTCCGTGTTCTTTGCACTGTTGGGTAGCCTGCACCAAAATATGTCAGGCATAGCCCAAGTCTGGTGCTTGACTGTGGTCACAGAGCCAGACAGCAGGAGCTCAGGGTCTGTGTTTGCTTCCCCAAGCTGTCATTGCTTCCCCCTGAGGGATGTGGGCCCAGAGCTGTCTCAGGTACCAGGTGGAGTTCCCATGCCCTGATTCCTGTGCCGGCAGTGCCACTGTGGCTGTGTGGCTCTGCCTGTGGGGTCATGCCAGCACAGATGTGAGCTCTGGTCCTGCAGGGAGCTGGGTACTGGTGGTGCAGGCAGTTGCTCAGAGATCTCCAGGGCCTGCTGTGCTTCTCTGGTGGCCTCCATGAGTCACCAAATGACTCTGTGGGTCATGATTAGTAGCTACTGGTGGTACTGGCAGTGCTGTGAGCCACATCTGTACTATACATCTGTCCTAAAATGGGAGCTCATCTAGGCTGGGGCTGAACTCTCACAGGGCTTTTCTTCTGTGCAAAGAATTCAGAGGAAAAAGAATTGTGAAAACTTAGTTCCATTCATATAACTGGTAAACTGTGTAGTGACATGTTGTTGCCACATCAAGAACACGAACCTAACCAAGGGCACTTGGGCTCACACTTAGCTCCCTCCCCATTTACTGCAATGCTTTAAGTCCTTCCTCATTCCTCTTGCTTGTAAGGTGTTCTCAAAATAAAGCACGTAGTAGATAAGGATTTCAAACTGGACCTTGGCAGGTACAGATAAGCACTCATGGTGGCTCAGAAGAGTTCAGGGAAAACTGAGATACAGGAAGGAGAGGAAAGAAAGTGCTGTGGGAATTGCTTGCAAAGGATGTGTTGAGTGTAATGTGTTATATGAGCTGACCCTGTTTCAGGATAGGAAGGCCATTTCTTAGAAGGGCAGGGAGTTTCCCTGTAGTGGAAGGTAGGTTCTGTTAGTTTGGTCATTAGCAGACTGGGTTCTTAGATGCCACAAGGTCTAGTTTGGGTTTTTTAAAGTTTTATATGTTCTGCCCAGTAAGTGCTTGAGTGTTTTTCTTTTTACCCAGTGCTGGTCTGTGCTTTCAGTTCTGTTCTAGCAGGTTTACTCACTTCTCAAGTTGACTACAAAACTGAAATGGAAAATAATGGTAATTTTATCCCATATGTAAGACACAAAAAAATGTCTGCCATGTAGTGAGCATCCAGTGTTGTTCCAAGCATCCTTCAAAAGAAATAGCTCTGTCAGACTTTACCTCTGTCCTTACACTAATCCCTTGTATGACTCAAATTGGTTTTGCAAAGTTAGAAGCGTATTATTTTTAGCTGTATTTCTTTGTGAAGGCAGTATCTTTCTGGATTCATTTCCCTGGTTGGAGAACTGCTGGTTGGACTAGCCATCTGTGGTGAAGAACATCCAACTTAAAACTGCAGCTCAAACCAGCCTGTTCGAGGTGAGCAGAACACAGTCACAGGTACTGGCAACAGGAAAGGTTCCTGTGTTTTTTTAGCTGGAAACAGCTGGCTTGGTGAGCTGTGGGAATCCGCAGACCCCGTGGGACACCTTTCCCCAGTGCCCCAGTTTTGACTGCAGCAAAGATGAGACAGGAAGGCTGAGCTGTGAGACCTGGAGTGGATTTAGACTGCAGATATATTTTCTTTCTAGCTGGGTTCTTGCCTCAGAAGAGCTGACTGCAGGGGCTCTGGCATGGCAGCTGCCTCCAAACTGGTTACGGTGGGAGTGTCGGGGTGAGGCAGTAGCACACATTCTGATTTCTGCCTGCTCTTTGGGAAAACTGTCCTCCTGGCTCTCTGGCCAGACTAGGTGTGTGATAGAGACACTCCTGGCCCTGTGTGTGAAGATCTTCCTCAGGAATGTCTTCTGTTCAGCACCTTCAGCAACAGAGCCCAGAAAGTCTGACTCCAGCTGGGCTGGAGTCACAAATAAGTCAGTCTACTCTCCACAAATCAGTCGTTCACAGTGGCTGAATGGTACCTGTGGATTAAATCTGTTTGAACTTGCTTTGGCATTATCTCAATTCATTTGGCAATTTGTCTAGAAAAGGCTTATCTTACCAAGCAATCTCTGAACAGAAACAAATGCTTTGAAAATGGGGGGAGGCATGAGAGAAGAAGAAGAGGGATGGTAATAGTCCACACTTGCAAATTGGAAGTTGGGCATGTATGCATAAGGGAAGGACAACTATGTTTGCAAATTGGAAGTAGTGGGAGTAGTGAATTTTTCAGGCCAAACTGCAACCTGTAGCCACATGTTTATGAGCTTTGTTCAGCTGAAGAGACTTCCTTTCCCAGCAGATATTATGTAAGAGAAGAAGAAAGTCTCTTACTTCATCTTTTTTCATATATGCAGCACATTTGTTTTTCTTAAAATGTCTTGTTTTTGTAGGACTCTTTCTCCTTTCTTAAATTTGTGCACTCTTTGTACAAGATAGTCTTCAACAGAGATTCTGTTTGACTTGGCAGAAGGGAAGACCATATATTATTATCTAGTCTGCAGACATAATCTTTCCATTGTGACAGTTATGATCAGAATTTCCACATCATAATGGAATTTAGCGCATCTTCTACCATTGAATTTATATAAATGTTGACACAAAAACTCAGCAGCAGTGTTTTCACTTACCTGAGCTCCCAGGACAAGCTCTGGTGAGCAGGTTTTCATCAATATGAAGACAGGACAAGGGGCTCTTCACTTTTCTGTCAAGCTCTGTGTACTTCTTGCCTTGTTTCATGGTGCACTGACTGGGAAGCAATAAAGGAAGTGTTAGAGTAAGGCTCTGTGCTGCCTTTGCCTTTCTAAGGCTGCCTGTGTGGTCCCTGGATCCTGGTAACACCATTACTCCTGCTCATCCTCCCACAGCCCTGGAGCTGCAGTGCAGGAGCCCAGCAGAGCCTGGCTGGCACCTCTGTCTGTCTGTGCCTGCACACAGCAACAGGAACCCACAGCCTGTGGTGCCACACAAGCCTCAGTCTCTGCATACCACTTCTAACCTTTTGTGCATGCACAGAACTGATCTCATCAGGGAGGCAGCCAAGCTGAGCCCCAGCTGTGTCCAGCTGAACTCCTGACTGTGACCAAGCTTGCCCAGATCCCACCTGCGCAGACCTTGGCCTTCTAGTCCATTTCCAATGCTGTGAACTGCATTTTACCCAAGGAAAGCCCCGATCAGTGTTCCAGCTGCATGCTAGAGACACATGTACAGCAATGAGTCAGCATGGGGTACACAAATTTATCACCTGCTTTGGTCATAAATAGGAACTCTTTAACAAAGAAGTCATGTGACATACCAGATTATTTAGGGAGTAGTGTCTGTTACAATAATAATTTCAACTAAGACAGTGTAATCTGTCAGATGCTTGAGGGATAAACCCTCACCTTTCCTTTAAGACTAATATTTCTTACCCTTATTTTCAGCTTAGAGGGATTTGTTTAGGTTTTTTTCTTAGTAAAAGGAAAATTATGCTGAAAGCAAGCCTGTCTATCTCCCACTATTAGGGGGCTTGAAGAATGTGTTGGCTGGATTACTGCTGTGGTGAAAGGCACAGAGTGATGTATGGATGATTCTGACTCAGCCAGCTCTCAGACTTCCCTCCCTGCTCATTTCTCACTCCTGTTGAGCAATCCCACACAGTCAACACTACCAGCAGCACAGAGTTGCCACAGCAGGCAAATCCAGGGAACAGAAGCTCTCTGAATCTGGAAACACACCTGCTCCAAAAGAAATGGGGAGTTCTTCCAAGACATGCCTTGTGAGCAGTTGTGCATGGAAGTGTGGTGGGCGTTCCTGCTTCTTGGTGGGAGTGTGCACCTAGTCAAACTAGTACATGATTAGGAAACAGTTTGGCATTCCGGCTTAGCAGCCAGTCCTCATCAGCATAGCCCCTGCAATCTAGGACAGTTAAACAAGATAAACTCTGCCTTGCCTTGTGGGAGGACAACTGGGAAACACTAGAGTTTACAGGTAGTCAGAGGCCTTTTGACTAAAGCCAGAGCTGCACAGAGCTCCTGTGCCACATAGGAATCCCAGAGGCTGTCCCAGCCAGCTGTGCTCCTACTGCACACCTCCAAGGATGTGGGGTAATCACTAGTGCAGCTGTGGTGTTCACTTGCACCTGTGCTAGGTGACAGTCACCTGTTCTGTGCTCAGCTCCCTGCTTTTTGCACAACCTGTTTAAAATGAACCCTGGGGCATTCCTGAGGTGGAAACTCAAAACTTAGCTTAGGCCTTGCTCTTGGGGTTTGAGGGAATCACAGCCCAGGCTGATCATAGGTGTCTGGTGTTTATCTGGCTCAAGGTGCAGCACAGGAGGCTGAACTCTGAGGTCTTGGGGCTGGAGGCAGATGGAAGATCCAAATCTCATTGGACTTATACACCTGAGCTCAAGACTGTTCAAAATCTGTCTTTAAAGGTAAAATACATTTGTCATTTCTGTATGTATTCTAAAGTGAGCAGAGACCAGGTCTCTCATTCCTTTTATGCCTAGTGAGAACATCCAGTTGGTTCTGTGTGCATCTTGGGGAAGCTAGGAAGGATTACAGGACACTTAAGCAGCAGAGTAAGGAATCAGGTTTTGGTTGGAGTTATGCAGTGCCCCTGATAGGATGATTAGTAGTTACCCCACATGGAAGAGCTCTAATAGCAGAGGCTCTGAGCTCTCTTTAGAGCAGTAATTAACATGGCACTGAGGAATGCTGCTGGGATGCAGCAGATCCAGGCTCTGATCTGGTCTGATCTGATTCTGCCAGAACAGGTCATTGACCCCAGTGTTCCGCATGCAGCCAGGAGCCTCGGGGCTGGGACCTTGGAAAGCTTCAGAACCTTTTTGCAATGAGTTTAGCACCTTCTTTCCCAGTTCTGCTCTTCTTATATGCTTCTAAAACGTGTGTTTGTTGATTTATCAAAGAACTTTCACTTCTGTTTGAAGCAATCTAAATTTAGAAAGGAAGTCTTGAGCTCCTCATTGTTGCTGTGTATGGGTTATTGTTGAGGGCTGCAGGTTCCAGTTTATTATTATTATTATTATTATTATTAGTTTTATTTCTAAACTGAAGAGAATAAATAATTAGTAGGTTTTACAGATTGAGAGCCACAGATTGATTTTTGGCCATCAGCACTAAAATACATTGCTAGGGGAGGTGATGGGCTTGTCAGTAAGTGCAATCATGGGGAGACGTGTGTCCATGCCCCTCATGCTGCCTGCAGCGCTCTTGGAGAACCTCTCCACACCTGGTTCTTACCAACTTTCTAGCAACATTTTTCTTCTTCCAGAGCAGTTTTCCCTTTTATTTCTAGAATAATCTAGAGGACTAAATCCTGCTTTAATACAGTTATGTGGCTCCTCTGAAATAAGCTAAAGTAGGGAGATCTTGTTTTTCAAAGCTTTCTCACTTTTTTAGATGTCTCCTTAAAAACTGTTATCTGCCAAGCAAAACACTTCAGACCTTTTGTCTTTATGAGCAAAACTGAAACTTTCCACAGAGTAAAACATTTCTTACAAAGTCTTCTAACATTAATTTCCCGTAATTTCTTTAGAGACAGATCTGAGTGGCTCACGCCAGCATCATCTAGTAGTATAAAACTGTGAGTGCAGATCAGATGCAGTGTTTTTTTCCCCTCATTTTAGTGAATTCTAGAAGCTATGCCCTTGCCTATCCTCCTGTGTTTTAAGGAAACAATAGACTAAAATCCACAGGTATTGTTCTAAGGAGACTGATCTGTTTGGGGAGTTCTGCACAGGCCTTCAGCCTTCTCCCTTTGAAAGAAGAAAGGTTTCAGGTTTTTTTCTCTTTTTCCTGTGAAACACAAGGGCGTCTGGAGTAGCTCTGGAAGAGCCAATGTGAGCACAAGCACCAAAGACTCTTAGCATTTGTTCACACAGCTAAGCTGAGAGAAACCCCAGAGTAGATCTCAAAGGGCTTGTCAGTCCCATTCGTATTCAGACAGGGTATTATGTGTGTTGAAACTAGTTTGGTCTTGCTTTGTGGGTCAGGTGTAATATTTGTAGAACCACTGGCTGACTGCTAAAGGCCTGATTTGAGCACTGCTTTATTGGTAGCACTTTGTGTGGGTATAACAAGACAGAGTTTCTGTGGGATGTCTCTCCATGCAGCCTAAACTCCTGGGCCTTTTTGCAGTCATGCCTAGGGACTAGAGTGGAATCTGTTTGGAAGGAGACTTTTGAAACTAATGTTTGGAAGGAGAAAGAAATGCTACTGTGATCTGGGTCTTTAGCTATTGAACTGAAACACTGGCTGGGTTTGTGCTGAGACTGCTTTTGTAGGAAATGCAATCCTGCTTTAGGAGATGTTTTCTGTAGTGATGCTGAATGCACCTCTGCAGCAGTAATTACCTATTTACCTCTAACTGACTGTGCCTTATCGGTTCTGACCTGCCAGTCTGTGACTGGAGGGGAAGCTAACATAGCGAGAGCTAGCCAAATACTTCTACTAGGGTGACATTAATGTTTAGTGTTTAATTCTTGTGGAAACTAAATCTACAACACCATTGTGCTGCCAAGGCAGCTTCCAGTTCCACTGATCTGTTCTTTCCTTATTTTTTTCTACCATGCTGTTCAAATTGTCTCAGTTGCCAAGAATAACTAGTTGGAGTTTGAGGTGAAGAGGTCTGCAGTCAGTGGACACCTGGCAACATAAGATTTCAAACTGAAGGCAGTGGCAGCCCTGCAGTCAGTGCAGTGGACGGGGAGTGTGCTGGCAGCAGATGCAGTGGTGGTGCAGCCCTGCTCTGAGCTGGAGTCTCCAGGAGTGTCTGGGGGTTCCTTGCAGCTCCTCCCTTCAGTCAGCTCTGCTGCTCTTCTAATGAAGGGGCAGATCCTGCCTCTAGCATTTTATTAACAGACTTTTCAGTGTCCTTTTGAACTATTATGCCAAAACAGGACATGTTTCTCACTGTTAGAGACTACTGCTGTATACGAAAAAGGTTCTGAGCCTGCAGGGGAGCTTACAGAGACATCCATGCTTGTTTCTGACCTTCTTCCTTGTGCTAACTTAGCTAGGACTAGCTAAATCCTGCTAGGCTTAACCTGCATCCTCTTCCAGTTCTCTTAATGCAAAATACTTCTGGTCCTTCGTCTTTCCTAGGCTGGGCTCCATGATGTCCCTGCTGCCCAGGGCCTCCTGCTTGTGCCTGCAGTGGCTGTGTCCTGCCTGTCCCCGCCCTGCAGTGTCGGGGTTCAGCAGCTGAACCCAGCTGCTTAGCTCTGCCTCAGCCCAAGGTTTTGTCCTCTAGCCCCAGCGCTGTGACAGCCTTTCCAAGGCCCCACAGACATGGCCTGACTCAGCAATTTTCACGCTTCTGGCTTGATCTTTCCTGCAGCTGTAAAACTAAGGTGCAGGGGGGAAGGGGAAACACGTGAGGAAACGCATGGTCTGATCCCTGCCTCTCCCTTTCACTCCTCGTGGATCCTCCACATAAATAGGCTGGCTCAGCCCTTTCGTTCTTCCTGTATTCCTGACATGAGGAGCCTGGTGTGAGGTCTTTGCCACTGCAAAGATGCCACAAAAAACATGGCCCCTTTATACTGCAAAGAATAGTCTCTACATTCAGGCTGTGTTTTACAGGGTGGGTTTGCAGCATGGTCTGTCAGCTTCCCTGACAGAGCCTCAGTGGTGTGGGAACAGCTTCAGTGAGCTCTGCAAGTCTCTGCATTGCTAGAATTCTTTAGAGTTCTTCTGAGTGCTGAGCCTTCAGCTTCATCATGCAAGTAGCTGTGGCTCTAAGATTTATCTAACCTCAAACTCTGGGAGACAGAACATGGGGGAAGTTGGAGACCCACCCTGATGCATGAGGGATTTTGAAATTTATCAGTAAGAAACACTCATTTCTTTGGGAAAAATGATTTTGAGAGCTTTTCCTCTAAGATGACTGATTGACTGCAAACAGACTATCTTCTGGGAGGTCGGGGTGGGTACCATGGTACAGCTTGCTTTGATCTCAGGTAGCTGCAGCAGGATCACGTTTAATTACTTTGAAAGCCTGTCTCTGAGCAGTATATTCTCTTCCCCCAACTGGGATGGACTTCATTATACAGAGGACAAAAGTCTGTATTTTCTTCAGTAAGTTCTTATTTTCATGCATAACTTTGAACTGGGTAGTAGTGCATTTGAACTTTGGGGCTACTTTAGATTTATACTTAACTCTCTGATGTTAGTTTTATGCTCATATCTCT